CTACTTTGCCCAAGATCAATCCTCAGCATCTCCAGGTAGAATTTGGAAAGAATCCTGCCTGAACTCCTGGAGACACATGACAGTGCTTAGGCCAGGGGTCGGCAACCTAAGGCCTATGGGCTGGTAGCGGCCCATGGGGCTCATCTATCTGGCCCATGCTGACCCCTGCCGCCCGCTCTTACCGGTGCGGCATGGGGACCAACTTCTGGGTTGATGGTGCCTGTGCGCATGCACATGGGTGCTCCTCCAACCCGGATGTACACCGGAAATAGTGTGTGCGCATGCATGCAGGACGGAGAAGCGCCCATGCGCATGTGCACACGCTATTTCCGGTGTACATCCAGGTCAGAGGAGCCCTTGAAATAGTGTGTGCACACACTCACGGGCGCTCCTCTGACCTGGAAGAGCGCACGTGCGTTCACACTCCGGCCCATCCTCTGACGGACGGAGCGTGGACCGGCCCATCGTCCAGTAAGCTTGCTGACCCCTGGCTTAGGCAAATGAACCAAGTGTCTGACTCTATGTAAGGCAGCTTCCCATGTTCCTAAATTTGATACAGCCAAATGGAATATTGGGCTGGGGACCAATCAGAGCCTGTGAAATTCCTGAAGCCCCCTGATGAGGAGAATTGTTCTCTTGTTGTCCATCTGCTTTACCTGACTGAGTTCATGAGGGTAATATTAATCTTATTGCCAAGTAAATGCCACTGAATTTTCTTGAATGTACAGGCGGTGGCCATTTTGTGTGTGTCCAATTGATGCGAGACCAACGACACGCAGGTCCTTTGGGACCCAGAAGAGGTTAGAATGAGAGCAGAACAAGGGCAGAATGGGGCACAATGGGGAGGAGTGGGCTTATGTGCCAGGAACAAAACCCCTGTGCAAAATCGTCACTGCCTGTATTCCCTTGTAAACAGGATTGGCAATAAAGCACACAATTGTAGAGCTGGGAAGGCCATCTATTCCAACCCCCTGCAATGCAGCAGTCACACCTAAAGAATCCCTGACAGATGGCCACCCAACCCCAGTGTAAAAACTTCTGATGAGGCAGAAAGAGTTGTTTCCGTGGCTGAATAGCTCTTACCACCAGAAAGCTTTGTTTTCTTAATGTTTAGCTGGAATTCCATTTCTTTTCATTTGAATCCATTGGTTCATGTCCTACCATCCAGAGCAGCAGAAACCAAGCTTGGGACAGCCCTCCAGATATTTGGAGATGGCCTAAATATAATTTCTTAGTCTCCTGTTTTCCAGGAAAACATACCAACTCCCTCAACTGTTCCTCATAAGGCTTGGTTTCTAGATCCTTGATCATCTTGGTTATCCTCCTCTGCACATGTTCTAGCTTGTCAATATCCTTCTTAAACTGTGCACCACAGTACTCCAAGTGGCGTTTGACCAAGGCAGAACATTGTTGCTATTACTTCCCTTGATCTGGACATTATACTTCTCTTGATGCAGCCTAGAATTGCATTAACTTTTTTGTCGCTGCTGCTGCTTCATGCTTTTGACTAAAATGTCAATAAAGGGTCAGTAAAGGATGGGAAGTGACTGAGAGGGAAGCAGGGCGTTCGGCTAACGGACCAACTCAGATTCTGATTGATGATAGTAAATAGTCCCAGAATGCAAGAGGTGTTAAGGGCTCGCCACATTTCAGGCATATGGATCATGCAGCTGGGGTGTGTGTGTGTTAAGTTTAATTATGTCCCGTTATATTTCTGATGGAAGGGCAGTTGACCATTGGGCCATGATAATCCTTTTTGTTAGTTAGCTTGCTTGTTTCCTTTGCATTTCACATAAAGGAAAAAAAATTGTGCACAGGTACATAGACACGGGATGCGGGGTAGCACTGTGGGTTAAACCACAGAGCCTAGGACTTGCCGATCAGAAGGGCAGCGGTTCGAATCCCCACAACGGGGTGAGCTCCTGTTGCTCAGTCCCTGCTCCTGCCAACCTAGCAGTTCGAAAGCACGTCAAAATGCAAGTAGATAAATAGGTACCACTCCGGCGGGAAGGTAAACGGCATTTCCGTGCGCTGCTCTGGTTCACCAGAAGTGGCTTAGTCATGCTGGCCACATGACCCGGAAGCTGTACGCTGGCTCCCTCGGCCAATAAAGCGAGATGAGCGCCGCAACCCCAGAGTCAGTCACGACTGGACCTAATGGTCAGGGGTCCCTTTACCTTTACATAGACACTTGCCAATTTGAAAAGCAATTCATGTTTATATTTTGTGTGTGCAGTGGGGAGCTTGAATCTTTAGAAGAAGATTGCTAAAACACATAGTTGGCTATTTGCAAAGGTTCGACTTGTGAAAGAATTGCAAGTGACCAACATGGGTCACGTGGTCATTGCTATTGGCCCGCCGTCTGTTGTTAGATTTGTGTTCAAGCACTACCAGCTCGTGAATAATGGATGGTTTCTTTCATATTGATCAGAAACCTGATGCCATTAAACAACCAAGCAAGTACTGTGGTTATTAAGCATTATAGATCCATACACTGGAATAAAAGCATTCCAAGGAAACTAACTAACTAACTAACTAAATACTTGGCTCCTCAGCCAGACAAAGAAAGCAAAAGTCCTGCTTTGCAGTATCCTTAACCTTCATGCTTCAGGCATTTGGATCAGACAGACACTGCAATTCACGAGGATGGAAAGTGAAGATTTTGTGCAAACCATGGTTTACTTTAGCATTACTTGAGTGAGACATGAAGAATCTCCTGATCATACTTCCCTCCCTTGTGTGTGACAATCTTCCTGATTTCTTGTCATTGCAGTAAACCATAGTTTGGCATGGAGGGTTTGATCCTGGTTCCAGGCAAGTGCAAACCATAGTTTAGCCTACAAAAAAGGAGGGGCCATGGCACAATGATACAGTCCATGCTTTGCAGGCAGAAAGTTGCAGGCAGAAAGACAACTGCCTAAGATCTGGGGAACTGCCGCCAGTCAGAATACACAATTTTTTGTGAGATAGGGGGAAAATGTTTCGCCTGCATAGAACAGTTTTGTGTGTTCCTTTTGGGGGGTTGGGAATCATCATGGGCCAGGGGAGAGGAGTACAATCCTGAGGCTCCTTGCGGCTTATTCATGTAACACCAAAGTGTGTTTTACTGTAATATCTGATACAGCCCTGTGTGCTTTGAAATAGCATATTACATTTTGATAACAGCCCAAGGGTTGCATTCAATTAAGACCTACTCAAATTATTGGGCTTTAGCTAGTCATGTACATTTCAATGGGCCTACTCTGATCAAGACTAACATCAGCCAGAACCCTTGGAATGAGACTCTAGTCACAGCAATTATCTTTCAGTTAGCACATGAAATCTGTGAATTTGCTTTAATGCCATTTTTCATCAGTGCTGTTTGCAGCCCAGTCCTATTTATTATATTAACATGATGCCTTATTAAAAAAATCATACGCATTCTTGGTACACTCACAATCAAGCCGATCCATCCTGGGCCAACCCAGGGAGCTCAGATCTGGTCATGAATTAGTTTGGAGGTGGGCTTAAAACACACACATACAGTGGTACCTCTGGTTGCAAACAGGGGCTGCCCTTGAAGCTGTCCCAGAAACTCCAGCGGGTGCAGAATGCAGCAGCGAGGGTCCTCACGGGGTCTCTACCATGGGAGCATATTCACCCAGTGCTTTTCCAGCTGCACTGGCTCCCAGTGAAGTACAGGGTCAGATTTAAGGTGCTGGTTTTGACCTTTAAAGCCCTTCACGGCCTAGGACCCTTGTACCTACGGTACCTACGCCTCTCCCGGTATGCCCCACGGAGAGCCTCAAGGTCCATAAATAGTAACACCCTAGAGGTCCTGGGCCCTAAGGGAGTTAGATTAGCCTCAACCAGAGCCAGGGCCTTTTCAACACTGGCTCCGGCCTGGTGGAACGCTCTGTCTCATGAGACCAGGGCCCTGCAGGATCTGATTTTTTTCCGCAGGGCCTGTAAGACAGAGTTGTTCTGCCTGGCCTTTGGCTTGGAGCCAATTTGATTCCCTCCCCCTCTTTCTTTTTTCTTTTCATTTCTCCTCCTGCGATGAGGTTTCAATATTTTAATGTTGTATTTTAATTTTGTTTTTAAGTTGTATTCATTCAATCTGTTTTTATTATTGCTTGTTAGCTACCCTGAGCCCGGCCTTGGCTAGCGAGGGTGGGGTATATATAAAAAATATTATCATTATTATTTTGCGCTTCTGCGCATGCACAAGCGGCAAAACCCGGAAGTAACCCTCTCCGGTACTTCCGGGTGGCCACGGGACGTAACCTGAAAGAACGTAACATGAAGCGGACGTAACATGAGGTATGACTGTACTCACAATTCAATGCATCACTAGGATGGGAGGAAAGAAGGAGACTTTGTGTTTCCTTCCCCGCCTACTGACTAAGAGCAAGGTGGTAAATTCCACAGTTGTTGCATAGAGGCATTGTCCCTGCTGGATGCAGTTTCAGGGTTGACACACCAGGCAAGGAGAGTGGCAGGTTCTTGCCTTCTCCTGGGAAGACGTAAACAGAAATCATGTAGGTCTTGACCTTCTTGCGTGCCTCTCCTTCCTGCCTGATGCTCTGTCCCCTGACAGCCCTGGGATATCCCACCTGACTGGCAGTGATACACAGCTTCCTCCACCCAATTCAGCCCATCACCAGATCCCCCAAATTGGTCCCTTTAATTCAAGATTCACCCAAATTCAGTGCACAACCCTGCTTTTCTTTTTGCCACTCCTTTAATCTTCAAAAATGAGTTTATTTTCCTGGAGTCACCCTTGCAACACATCAAACTAAGGCAAGTTTTGGTTCCTTCTCTCTCTCGAGAACTGTATTTTGTAATTCCCATCTCCCACACCACCGTACAAAAGAGAGAGCCCAGAATGTCCTGGGGGGAATTCGCAAGAGTTACACTAGGATAAACCTGGCAGGAGTTTGTAGTGTAGTGATATTTGCAGATGTTCTCTGATGGATGCATAAAGTGATTGTTAATGGTGGGGCTCTGACTGACTCCATGGCTACTGTAGCTCAGTTAGTCAAGCATGAGACTCTTAATCTCAGGGTTGTGGGTTCAAGCTCCCCATTGGCCGAAAGATTCAGACCCTCCAAGAATCCCTGTTTTCCGGGGGTATCCCTGACTTAGAGAAGCCGTCCTGGTTTCTGATTTGATCCCGGAATGTCCCACTTTTCCTTAGGATGTCCCTATTTTCATTGGAGAAATGTTGGAAGGTGTGGAGTCATCTGACCCCCGAGCCATCTGAAGGCAATCATGTATACGGAATATATTTTAGACTTCAACGTCTAAAACCCTGGTAGAGGACAAGGATCCTGAGATCACGTTAAGGGTAGCTAAATTCTGTGCGATTGCCATAAAACTTAAAATAAAAATAAATGATTATTTTTAATCTTTGTTGGAAGCCATGCAGAGTGGCTGGAGAAACCCAACCAGATGGGCGGGGTACAAATAAATAAATAATAATAGTAGTAGTAATAATAATAATAATAATAATAATAATTACAAGCTGTGCTGTCATAATGATTAAGGCCTTCAATTATAATTTTAGGTTATATGTTAGTGACTAAGTTTTAATTTATATATTTTTTAACTTGCTATAGCTGTATTGTCCCTGTTATACCTAATTGCAAATTCAAATGTATCCCTATCGTGTTTTATGACTTCTTTGATATTGTATGTAGGCTGGAACTAGTCTGTGACCAAAATAATAAATTCATTCATACCATGTTTAATGTTTTATTATGTTTTATATATGTTGGAAGGTGCCCAGAGTGGCTGGGGCAGCCCAGTAAGATGTGTGGGGTATAAATCATAAAATTATCATTATGTGATGACACGTCCCTTTTTTCGTCAGAGAAACGTTGGAAGGTATGAAGATTCCTGCATCGCAGGGGGTTGGTCTAGATGACCCTCGGGTACCTTCCAACTCTACAATTCTATGATTCTATGATACTACTAAACAGATTCTAGGGCTAGGGTGTTGTTTGGGATTTTTTGTTGGGTGGGGGTTGTTGCTGTTCTGTGGGTGTTTTGTGTCTTTATTTTAGATCTTGGTGTGATTGCGTATTTTTTATGTTTTCATTATTGCTTATGACTACTTTTGTTAGGTTTGTAATTATGTATTTTTAATGTTGTAAGCCACCTTGAGCATGACTTTAACTGTGGGGTGGGGGGTGGGCACTACACAAAGAAAATTAGGTATTGATGTACGTATGCATGTAAAAATAACTATTTTGGGGTTACAGTCTCTCAATTACTCCATGTGCTTTCTACAGCTACCTTAATTGTAACCGTAGCAAAAACTGGACCATTTATGTAGCAATTTCCCTCTTATCATAATCACAACTGACACCGCCCCCGCCCCCCATATTTGTGGGCAAATTTAGAAGAATTGAGACATTTTACGTTCTTTGCTTGTTTTTGCATTATACTATGAATGGGAAGGGATTTGTTTGTTTGTTTGTTTGTTTGTTTGTTTGTTTGTTTAAAAAATGAAGCATTAATATATTTGTTGTCTGCATTAGCCACAACTGTCACCTCTGGAAAGAAGGTTTTTAATAATAATAATAATAATAATAATAATAATAATAATAATTGGTGTAATTGCATACCCTGGAGCATTCTGGAGGGTGAATGTAGAAAATAGTCACATTGGTATGGTACAGAAACACCAAAAATGCTATTTTATTGCTGCTAGTAGAAATTGCTACATAAAGTTAGATGAGTTCATGGGGTGCAGAACCTCACATGCTATGCTGAGATGGCACATTTTGTTTTAATTAGTTGCAGAAGTATTATCATAATTAAGGACTGCCTCTGCCGGCATGAACCCAGCTGACTCTGCAATCATCATCTGAGGTCCTTCTTTGCATGCCTCCTCTGTGGAAGGCCTGGAGGGTGACAACACGAGAAGGGGCCTTTTTTGCAGTGGCTCCCTCTTGTGGAATGCTCTCCCCAGGGAGGCTCGCCTGGCGCCATCGTTACATATCTTTAGGCACTGGGCAAAAATGTTCCTCTGTTACCAGCCCTTCAGCTGATTAAACAATCTGTTCTGTGGCCTTTAAAATGTGATTGTGACAAGGGGTTATTGGTTTGTTTGTTTTTGCTATTACTATTGTTGTTATTCTTTTTGTGTTTTTATACTGTAAACCACCCTGTGATCATCAGGTGTAAGGTGGTATACACATTTTAATAATACTAACTATTATTATTATTTAGCTGATCTTCACCGTATGGTACCAGGGCAGATTGCAACATATAAGAACACAATTATTATTATTATTATTATTATTATTATTATTTTAAATAACAACCCCACCCATAACCCCCAAATCAATCATCAATACATTTTAGGAAGGAGGGTATTCATATAAATTATTCCACTTTCCAAGGCATAGAGGAGAAACCTGATTACCTTTCCATTTTAATGCACACCCATGTAATTAGCTCTTCCCAAAACAATGCAAGGACCAAAACACAGCCATCTTTTCAAAATGGGCACTTCTCTGAATTTTGCAGTGCAGTTCTTTAGCAACGTAATGTGTACAAATATGCATGTACTCAGAGGATAAAGTATGCTCAGAGATGCATATATTACTGAAAATGATATTTCACAGTGCATTATCATAGGAAATTTGTTCTGCAATGAAATGTTTAAAATAGGCAAATTTTCATCCAAACATACAGCAGGAGAAATTTGCTGATGAATTTTCATGATAATAATAATAATAATAATAATCATAATAATAATAATACAGTGGTAAAGGGACACGGGTGGTGCTGTGGGTTAAAACACAGAGCCTAGGACTTGCCGATCAGAAGGTCGGCGGTTTGAATCCCTGTGACGGGGTGAGCTCCCGTTGCTCAGTCCCTGCTCCTGCCAATCTAGCAGTTCGAAAGCACGTCAAAGTGCAAGTAGATAAATAGGTACCGTTCCGGCGGGAAGGTAAATGGTGTTTCCGTGCGCTGCTCTGGCTCGCCAACAGCAGCTTAGTCATGCTGGCCACATGACCCGGAAGCGGTACGCCGGCTCCCTCGGCTAGTAAAGCGAGATGAGTGCCGCAACCCCAGAGTCAGCCACGACTGGACCTAATGGTCAGGGGTCCCTTTACCTGATGTGACGAATGAGAAAAAATGATAAACTGAGCGAAACAAAAAAAGAGAGAGATTTATCCATTCCTAGATAGGACACCCTTTGATGGGGGGTGGACTAGATGACCCTTGGGTTCCCTTCCAACTCTGCAATTCTATGAGTCTATGATCCTCAAGCAGAGAGGGATGGCTGGAGGAACTGATGAGGAGGCTGCTTCCACTTGAGGCAGTTGTCCAACTCTGCCTAATGGTAGGACATAGAAGTGTCTATGTGTAACTGTCCTTCCTTCCATTTATTTATATCACTCCTTGCTACCCTTCTGCACTCCGGCCACCGCCCCTCCTCTCACTCGAAAAGAGATTACATTTATGGATTAGTGTAAAACCATCTATTGATTCTCGGATGGAAAGGCTGGCGGTAAAGGTCATTGTTACATTTCTACACACAAGTTGCTAAATGTCATGTAAATCACCAGACAGTGTGCAGCAGAAGTCAAATAATATTTAGAATGCATTTGTTACAGGCAGTTTTATCCAGGCTAACACCATTCTCAAAGGCTTCCTTTGCAGTAGGGATGTGCGCAGATCCCCCGAGAAATGGTATAGATCTTATCCAAGATCTCATCAAAGCTCTGTTGGCTTCTCTCATATGAATACACATAGCCAAGCCTGTGCTGTTTATTCGGATTGGCACCAGTGCCTTAGTGTCAGGCATCAGGGACTTGGCTTCCTCCCCACCCCTCCCTTTGGCAGTAGATAAGCAGAACAAAGTGAAAGGAGTCTCTTACCAGTTAGAGATTTTATTGATCACAGCAAGAGAAGAAAGCATCCATTCCTCAGAATGAAGGTGCTCCCAATTAAGGGTTTCCCCCTAGTCACCCACATCACTACCGCATCTTGCAACCTGATCTCGCAACCACTGTGCTTTCTGTGCTGCCAGTTTATTTGCTCTCCTAGACCTTGGGCTGATTAGCAACATTGAGTCTGTGAACTCTCTCTCTCTCCCAGTTCTTCTTCTCCTAACTGTTCAACTCCCAGTTCTTCCCAACTTCTGTCTTCTGAACTATGTCCCTCTGCAAACCGCTGTTCCAAATCTATGCTGTTCCCCTACTCCTGGGAAGATTCAGGATCCTGATTAGGAGCAGGGGGAGGGGGAGGCTCCCACCATTCGTACTCAGTGCCACCCTCCTCCGCATGGTCCCTGACACTTAGCATCTGAAGCCAGAGATCTTTCCTTCCCCTGCTGAGAGGTGCCAGGGACACTGAATCTGGGACCATCAATGTACAAAACATTGACACTTTCACTTAGGCTAGTGTGGTGTATTGGTTAAGAGCGGTAGACTCGTAATCTGGTGAACCTGGTTCGCGTCTCCGCTCCTCCACATGCAGCTGCTGGGTGACCTTGGGCCAGTCACACTTCTCTGAAGTCTCTCAGCCCCACTCACCTCACAGAGTGTTTGTTGTGGGGGAGGAAGGGAAAGGAGAATGTTAGCCGCTTTGAGACTCCTTCGGGTAGTGATAAAGTGGGATATCAAACCCAAACTACTACTACACTACTTCTTCTTCTTCTTCTTCTTCTTCTTCTTCTTCTTCTTCTTCTTCTTCTTCTTCTTCTTCTTCTTCAATTATATGTGGCCTTATTGAAGCTGGACACATCTTTATAACTGATCCCTAAGTGCCCAAATGGCAAAGGAGTAGCTTAACATGCTCCAGAGAATCACAGGCAGAGAGAGTGTCCCTTAAGCCTCAGACTGGTCACTAAAGGAACAGGATGCTTGATTACATGGGCCCTTGGCTTAATCCAGCAGGATTCTTGCATTCTTAAATAAATTGAGATTTGTCCTGACCATTCTTCAGATTTTGCCGCTGGAGTCTGCTAGCCCTGTTACGCTGCATAGAGTCGAAACAGCCATTTCTTGATTCGTTTCATAAAATCTGCGTATAAACAGCTTGGTTTGCTTTTTCTCTTAAAATCTGCATTTC